GCGGGGGGGGGGCGGTGTTCCAAATTTGCGCCAACCACATGAGGTACTTGGGAATGACCCTGGGAAAGCCCCCTTTCCCAAATGCCCTTGGAAAAAATGCATTCTCCTCCTTTTTGCAGATGAAAACTACTTGGGTCTAGAAGCAGCGCAAATAACGGATTGGATTCGCACGCAGGCCTCAGTTAGACTAGAATAATGGTGCTGTCAGGGGAGGAGGCGTTCCTGGCCTGGGTCAGCCATACTGGCCATGGGAATATTGGGCAAGTCCTTCAGCTTTCCCCAGCCCTAGATTCCTCATCTGCCAAACGGGGGTGGTAATACCTCCTTGGACAAGTGAGTGAATAATTGTGAAAGCTGAATGCAGGGTGCTGGTGTTATTCGAATCATTTGACCCTTCGAAGAGGGGTGTTAAAAACTCAGTCCTGCCTGGGGAACAGTGGCTGCAGGAACTGTGCCATTTGAATGTATGCGGTCTTAATTGGAGGGGTGCTTATCTCATTAAGTTGCTCGGGGAGGTTAGGATGAGGTACCTACCACCGTAGAGCCACCGTCCTCTTGCCTGTCCCCACAGAGCTCAGCATAGGGGATAGCCCATACCCTATCTGAGGTGAGGCAGGTGTAAAGCAGGGCTGTGGAATTCATTCTCTAGTAAAATGCAGCCCCCAAGAAGTGGAGTCACATATGGAGTAATCTGCTGAAAGCCCCCTATACTTGGTGCCTTGTCGTTCAGCCACAGGGCAGTCCTGCCTCACAGCCCCAAAGAGTTCTTGGCCAGGCTGTAGGTAACAAGGTTTCGGTTGGGAGCAGAGGTGGAAATCAAACAGCCCAGAACAGCTGAGCTCTCTTGGCAGCCCATCTTAAGATTCAGCTGAGCTCTCAGACCGTCACACAGAACCCTGGGGGTGGGGGACTGGTGGTCCAGAATCTGCCTTTATTAGAACTCTAATCACTGAAAGGTTGGGGTAGGCTCCCCAGCCACCACTTTGGCGGGGCGAAAATCCAGGTAGATCACTGTAATGGGAGGGGTGAGGGGAGCAGAAAGGGAACCCATCTGTGCAGCATCGTGAGCGCCCTGGGTCTCTGCCAGGGGCCTCACCTGCAGCCTTGGGCTGGCGCCCTGTTCTGCGGCAGGCTCTGCAGGGGACCCCCAGGCAAGCCACTGAGATGCTGTCGGCTCCAGGCAGGAGCTGCAACACCGTAGTCCATTGCTCAGCGCTTTGTGATGCGGCTTCCGAGTAACAGATGGCAGACGGTTACACAATCGCCAGGCTTTAGACATGGTGCAGCACCACACTGCCTGCCGCCGAGGGGCTGAGGGGCTTCGTTCTGTTTGGCATCTGGGGAAACCGAGGCCCTGGGTTTCCCATGGCAGCTCCATGCAGAGCCTGCAAGGGAGAGCAGGGATTGCCTTCCAAGGATTGCCTTCCACGGGATTGCCTGCTTCTTGAATCGTTATTTTGCCCTCTACTCAAGTGGAGAAGATCCCCTGGTCCTCTGGAAGCTATCAAGGGAATCCAGTTTTGCCAAGTGTCGTTACCTGATCCAGCCCAAAGGTATAGTAGTCTGGGTTGTCACATCAGTAACGGTCATCAGGATTGAAATGCACTTCAGTTGGGACTTCAAGCATCTGGAAACCAAGTGGGTCCCCGGGCAGGACCCAGCCCTGTAGGTCTCTCCCGGGGCCCGGCATGGGCCCCCTCACCCCCACCCCCACCCCATGCGCTCTGGTGGATATTTAAAACTTTAATAACCAGCTTAAGTAATGCAGAGCACAGTTGATCCCAGTGGGGGATTAGCTATCACTGGCGATTAATCCAAGTTACTTTTTTCTCATCACAGCTTATATGGGGAGGAAAAGCTCCTAGCAAAAGATTTAACATGGCAGGAAATAAGATAAATTAAATAAGAACTCTCGTTAGGAATAAGGAATTAGGACTCTCCTGGTGCCCTAAAATGGATCTACCTCCCTGGTCTTGATATTCCCGAACAAGTTCCTCAGTTCTCTGGGTGGGTCTCCGTTTCCCCATCTGTAATGCCACGCCCTCTCAGAGGCCCTTCGAGCTCACACACACAAGGCCCTGACCTTCCTTGTCCCCGGCATAGGACTCTTCCCGCCACTCCTATTGTTGGCAAGTTCTGTGCGAGCTGTTCTCTCCTCACAGCCGAAGACATTAGAGAGGAAATTGGGTATTGGAGCAGATGTGAGTCATTCGTGTTCGTATAAAAACTATGGAATAAAACCCATTATGGCCCCGGAAAGCTGTGTAAAGCAGCATATGGAGCAAATGTGAGCTGGAAACGGGGAAGCTATGGAGTCCAAGGCACATGCTCTCCAACGGCCTTTGCTTTGGGTTTTCACCCTTGGCTTCTGGCTTCCTTTCGCTGTCCTCCTGTCACTGTCCGCGAGCTCTCTGCAGCCTTTTGCTGCTCTCGGATCCGAGTCCCTGTATCCGTCCTCTCTGCCCACTGCGTGACTTAAGTGACAGCGCGTGTGTGCCTGCGGTCTTCTATCTGCATGCTCATTAGACCTGTCACCCCCAGCGAGACGCCCTGTGTGCCGACCTAATGAGATTTTACCCACAGAGGCCCGGACAGCTTGCTGTGGAGGGCTTTACCCCTTCTGGGCCGTAGGGAGGGCTAAGCGGTAGCCGGGCAGATCGTAGCACAGTGGAGAGACGAGACACGCACACGGCCCAGCACTGGCAGGGGGCCCTGGCAGCAGAAGGAGCAACGGAGAATTCAAAGATGTCTTGTCTTTATTCCACAGTCGTACAGACCCAGGTCTTCGGGCCGACCCCTGCCTTCTGCTCTGTTCAAGTTCTCCAACTGTAAATAATACATCAACCCTCTTCCTCGGTGCTCCTCTCCCTTTCCCCTGCCACGGTGGCTTCTGTTACAACCACATGTCCCAAGTCTCCTGCAAGGTCTTTTGATAAAGTGAGTGATGAAATAGTTTAGGCTGCGTGGTAAATTCAAATGAGCTCTTACCAACCTCCTTACCTCCTCTGTCTGCCACACTGGTGTATCGTTGTCAGAAGAATAAGGCCAACTGGTTTTTCCTCTCATCTTTGGTGAGTAGATGGGTGGCTTTATCTCAGGGATCTGAGAGTCACCGTTCTGGACTGCTCTATCCATTAAGCAACTCCTTTCACTATCCCACTACCCCCCTCCTCCCCCACCTCTTGTTTTCCCTCGGTACCCCTCTATAATTTGCTTCCTAGAAAGGGATTTATAGCTTTGCATTTCAAAAGCCTGCTTCTCCCTTCATTACTTGTGCCCCCCAACTTTCTCTGCTCCTCACCCAAATAGCAAGTGGAAAACTTACTATGGCTGCCATGGTGTCTTTGTGGGTTGTAGAGAGTGATTTGATCTCGTGTGTTAATGTCCTGCAGCGACCTGAGCCATGAACCATCCACCCCCACCAGAAAATGCAGAGTTCTAGTTGCATGAAGAGGTGACCCGATTAGCTTAAAGAAAAGTAGAGGAAGATTATTTAATAAACAGAATTACCTAGGAGTGTCTCTGAAAGAGGAGAGCACACACAGAAGAAACCGAGGGACCCAAAGACAGGTGTCATTTGCTCCCCAGGCCCCAAATTTCCGATAGCCAGGTCTGACAGCCACCTGCATGATCTCCGACCATCAAACAGTCCTTGGTAGACTCAGGCTTAGAGGCATCAGTGCAGGTAGAAGGGAGCAAGAGAGCTGGGAACCCAGAAGGAATACAACTGTGGTGGGTGCTTTCTCATCCGGCAGGAACATCAGCAGTGAGAGGAACCGACTAT